AAAACTGTAGGGACTTTCGTTTCTCAACAGAGTTCAATCTCTCAGTCCTGTTCTAAAATAAGCAACTTGGCCAGGGTGGTGGCATACGCCTTTAGTCCCCACACTCAGGAGACTGAGGCGGGGGATCACGTGAGACACTATCTGAAAAAAAAAAAAAAATACACTGTAAGTAAAAAATAAGAATAAGCAACTGAAAGCAAAATAGTCACCATGTTAGAGAGGTCACCAGTATATATGTAGTAAGTGCCTATTCTTTGTTGAAACAACAGTCCAGCACAAGTCACCATCAGCTGGGTACATTAGATTAGCTTCATATATTATCTGGGAAGAATTTAGTGAGGAGGGGCCAGGGAGATGGCTCGGTGGAATAAGTGCTTTCCTGGCAAGCGCAAGGGCCTGAGTTCAATCCCCAGTTCCACAAAAAAAATAATAATTTAGTGAGGAAACAACAAGTCTTTCACTGGAGATTACTATGCCTTTAAAAATGTCATATTTAAAAAAAAAATCATACTTGCTGCTATGGCAGAACATCCCAGCACTTGGGAGGCTGAGGCAGGAGGATTGCCACAAGTTCAAACCCAGCCTGTTCTTGATAGTGAGCTCAAGGTCAGCCTCAGCTGCATAGCAAGACCCCTCAAAAAATATAAAAACAAATAAATAAAAGTGGCATACTTTCTAATGTTTGAAGTGGAGAGGCCGTTAAAACATCTCCATTTTGTTTACCTAAATTTTCCTCTCCTATATTTCCTTCAGTTATGACACTCAGATTTTGCTGTCTAATATGTGTTTCTTTCTCCGTAACTGTTGGAAACTTTGCACGGAGGCTCATAGAACACAGGCAAGGATTGCTAAGTTGTTAACATGGATGCAAACATGGGGGATTGGATTTTGTTTAGTTGTTGTTGTTTTGGGTTGGGGGGGTTGTTTGTTTATTTGTTTTGGTGTTTTGTTTTGTCTTTTTGGGGCAGGGTCTCGCTATGCAGGTTAGGCTGGCCTTGAGCTCACTTTGTAGCCTGGGCTGTTCTTGAGCTCAGCAATGATCCTCCTGCCTTGGCCTCCAGAATCCTGGGATTATAGGTGCGCACTATCATGCCTGGCTTTGAAAACATGGTTTTAAAACTCTGCGGTTAGTTTTACATCAAGGGGCTTGTGATGTAAAGCAAAATGACCTATATGGGGGCCGGGGAGATGGCTCAGTGGAATAAGCACTTCCCTGGCAAGTGCAAGGGCCTGAGTTCAATCCCCAGTTCCGCCAAAAAAAAAAAAAAAGAAAAAAGAAAAAAGAAAAGAAAATGACCTATATGGTATAAAAATAGAATGAAATGAGTTTTAGGATTCTTTGCTCTAATTCTACGAAATGCACTAGAGGAATTTTGATAAAGATTACATAAAGCCTGTAGCTGGGCGGTGCGTGCGTTTCATCGTCTTGGCACTTCCCGCCCAAGAACGAGGGGCGCTTTCCATTTGCTGATGACCTCTTCTATCTCCTTTTTCGAAGTACTATATTTTTTTAATGTAGAGATCTTTTATTTCGTTCATGAGGTTAATTTCTAAGTATTTCATTTGGGGGGATGTTATTGTAAAGTGTGTGGTTTCCCTGATTTCTCTCTCAGGGGGTTTGTTATCTGCATACAGGAATGCTGTTGATTTTTGAGTGCTGACTTTGTATCCAGCTGTGCTGCTGAATTCGGTTACCAAATCTAGAAGTCTTGGTGGAGTTTTGGGGGTCTTCATATCACCTGCAAATAATGATAATTTAACTTCTTCCGTTCTTATTCTTATTCCTTTTATTTCTTGTTTCTTCTTAATAGCTCTGGCTAAAGTTTTCAGAGCTATATTGAATAAGAGAAGTGATAGTGAACATCCTGTTCTTATTGTGCTGTTCTTGACTTTAGTGTGAAAGCTTCAGTTTATCCAAAAATGGGCATCTGAAATGAATAGACACTTCCCAGATGAAGAAGTAGAAATGGCAATAGATGGATGACAAAATGTTCCACATCAGTGGTCATTCAAGAGATGCAAGCTAAAACAACACTGCGATTCTTTCTCACCCTAGAAAGAATGGCTGTTGTCAAGAAATCATACAGTAACAAATGCTGTAAGGGAAGTGGGGGGGAAAGGAACCCTTCTCCACCTTTGGTGTAAGAGTAAACTGGTGCAACCACTATGGAAATCAGTGTGGAGATTGTGCAAAAAACCAGAAGTTGCATTTGACCCAGGTATTCCCCTTCTTGGTAGATTCCCAAAAGAACTAATAGTGTCATATCACAGTGATGTATGCACACCTATGTACATGGTGGCACAGTTTGTAATAGCTGAATCGTGAAAACAACTAGTTGCCCATCAACTGATGGATGGATAACGAAGATAGGGAAGTTTGCTTGTTTGTTTTTAATATAATAGTACTACTCTGCCATAAAGAAGTATAAGCTTGAGACATTTCTAGGTAAAGGCATGTACTTTGAAACCATACTCTTAAAGCAAATAAATCAGATACACATGTGTAAATACTGCATTGTTTCTGTGGTGTAAAAAACTGAAAATGGAATTAAGGACCAAAATGCATAATTGATATTGAGAAATGGGAAGAAAACGTTCAAGTGGAGAGAAGAAAGGGGGGAAGGAAAGTTCTGGACTAAAAAGAAATGAGACTAGAAGGAAAAAAATGTGGAAGGAAGGGAGGAGAAGGGAAGGAAGGAGAATAGTGATCTATCATGTACAGATCCAATGCCCTATGGTGAATGTGACCGCTGTGTGTATCTAAATTGTACCAGAAATAAATAAGTAAATGCTGGATGTGGTGGCATGTGCCTGTAATCCCAGCACGTGGGAGGCTGAGGCAGCGAGCTCAAGGCCGGCCTGAACTGCATATACCTAGCAAGACTGTGTCTCAAGGACCCCCCCCCAAAAAAAAAAAAAAGTAAAGTAAAATAAAAATAAAATCAAACTTTTGAGAATTAATTTGTAAGTGTTTTAATTATTTTTATTTTTACTAGATTGCAAATTGAAAATAAGTTATTTACAAACATAAATGAAATAACAATAAAAATTGTCCAAAATAAAAGTGAAGAAAGAATTTACAGATCAGTCATAATAGTTCACTGTGTCAAAACCAAGAAACTTATATTCATATAATTAGAGAATTCTTAAAGTAGAAAGGAGTAGGCAATAAATATTTAAAGATTTAAAATTTCTGAA